TCGTTCGAATTTCCAATAATTATTTTTTCATTTTTCTTTCTTTTTTTTTTTTTTCTCGATGACACTTCTCTCATCCATGTCGCGCTTCTCGATGACATTCTCGGCCTTTTGTTTGAAAATTTTATAGTATTATCGTGACGTTTAGAGAGCAGATTACAAATTCGATTGAAATTAGATTAATCGTGGATCGTGGTTAATGAGAGTCTCTGAGATATTTTATTTCTGCATATACGTTGGATGGTAATTTTTCAGAAGGCGATTAAGGAAGAAGTTCGTAGTTTGTGGAATTGAATAATAATATCTAAAAATTCACGTAAAATATATCTTCAATAGTGGTACGTACAATCCTCGAAAGATTATTCAAACTTTAAAGTTTCCAAACGTTCTTCTCGTTGCGAAATATTAAAGCGAGAAACACACTTCATGGCTCATAATTCCAATCTATTAACTCATAACACATTTTTATTTCAATATAATATTCTCAATCCAAGGGATAATAATAATGACAAACAATGCCAAATATATTTTAGTTACTATGAAAAGAATTAAAATATAATTATAATAAATATTATTCCTTTTAAATAATTACTTAAGCGTAATTATTCGAAATTTTTAAGAGGTTAATGGCCAACTCTCGATCTTTTAATTAAACTTGATTGAATAAATATTATTCAACGCGTCACGCGTCATCTTTACGCGGTGGCAAAGGAAAAAGATTCGCGCATCGATCAAGTAGGATATGATGGAGATTCGAGGGGGTGAAATCAAATGATAACAGAGAGGTGTCGTTGTCGGATGCAACGCGAGAAAGGCGAGGAAAATGCTTACTCGTCGTTTGTTTGCAGGTTTGTTCGGCACTTAGCCGGCACTCTCGCAGCCGCCCCAAATCCCCGCAAATTGAAATATCTCCGAGAGAGTCTTACAGGCCTGGTTAACAACAAACCCCGGGGACGGATCTCACTTCACTCGTTTGTAATCCCGAGACGGGGGCGAGGCCTCTCGTTGCCTCCTTCACGCGAGTCCGGCACGTTCCTCTCGTTCCTCCTCCCAAAGATGTTTCAGAATTTCAACCTCTTTGACGAATAATTTTTTCTCTCTTTCTCTCTCTCTCTTTCTTTCTTTTCCTCGCTAAAAGTAAGTTTGCGAAATTTATGATTCAATAAATTCGATCGAATTTTGTTCTTTTCGAAAGAAAGAAGAAATAAAATTTACGAAGAAAGATATTATTCGTTAGAAATAATTATATTGAGAAGACAAAGGGTGGTAGGGTGCAGTATATTTAGTTATTGTAACACGTAATTAACATATATCTAAGATATGATACACTTTAATTTCGTTACCAATGGATTGAATAAAGCTTCGTTCCTGAATTGAAAGAAAATTTGAAAACAAGGCGAATTTAAATTCAATCGTACACGAGACAATTACATCGTGTTAAACCAATTAACCGATCCAAACTAACCGATAACAGTCTCCTGCGCAACGCAACGTTTTATCTTCGATACTAGAAATATCCGTTTCCACGTGAATAGTAAAATAGACGACATTACAGGCCGTGGTGGGTGGATTAAGATTATACTGAATAAATTGAAACACGGTGATAAAGCGGTCGAACGTTTCTTCGATGACGGAACTCGGTCGGTATCGGTGCGACCGATATTATGTCGAGTTGCTGCCTCTGTAAATAGATACGGCCGTCTTAGTTAGAAGATAGTTAGCGGCATCATCAGACGCACTGATAGCGGTGCTCTTTGAAAAAAGTGGTAATCGATCACACGGCTGTCAGTACGAGTAAGGGAAGCTGGCGATTTGCCGCTGCGGAGTCAGGGGTGAAATACCCTCACCTGTCACTGCCACGATCGAATGACGAACGCATACGCGTTATTCTCGTGTGATTACCGATCGAGCGATATAATCGATCGGTATGATCGTTACTCGCTTCAAAGCTCGCGTGCTTCGAGAAGAGGTACTTTTTTTTTTTTTAATTTTAATTTGTAATTGAAGAGATTCAAAAAATCGTGCATCCATTTTACAATTGCAATGGATTATTGAAATATTCCGTTCTCAAGAAGAAGGAATAAAAAAAAAAATGGTTAATACAATAAAAGTCGTTAAAACATTTTTCATCCTAGTATCGCGCGATTATTTTAAAATTAAAGAATAAATTCGAAGCAAATCTTCACAATTGTGAACCATTTGAATTATTCATTTTTCACGCGATCATTTTCCTCGTTACTCGAAATTTCCCCGTTTCCACGAAATATATAAGATCGAATTTATATAAATCGTAAAGAATCGTAGTGAATTCTCTTAGAATAAGTGTCATCATTTTCTAGGGAATGTGATATCTTAACACGTTTCAGATGTTGCGACACCGACAGAGGTGAAACACGAATTGGGAGCCGGTGGAGGGGTTGTCTCCCCTGACGGTGTGGTTGGGGTAAATAACGCGGACGATAAGGATGGAAAGAAGAACAAACGCCAGAGGCGGCAGAGGACGCATTTCACGTCCCAACAACTTCAAGAGCTCGAAGCTTTGTTCATGAGGAATCGGTATCCAGATATGTCGACCAGGGAAGAAATAGGTCTGTTCACCAAACTTCCAGAACCTCGTGTCAGGGTGAGTGATAATATTAATTAATCCCATATATAACTCTCTTCGATATCTTATAAACGATTTTCATAATAATTCATTAACTTTATTTATATTTATTGTGATTTCATAATTAAGTAAGGATGACGAGAAAATTTGTTGAAACGACGTTTTATTTGAGAAAATAAATTTTTATTTTTTTATATTTTATGTATAATTGATGAGATTTGTAAATTCGTAGATGTAAATAACTTAGATGAGTGACGTTTTGGCTGAACGAACGAATTTTCATTTTAACTTTTCGACTAGATACTCTAGAATATTTGGAAAAATAAATTTTATCTATCGCATTGAAGAATTAATCTTAATCGTTTCGAAACGCGGTATAGTTTTATAATGAACGATTATTATTCCATTTATTGAGTAAAAATTAAATAAAAATTTAAAATTACGAAATTTTTTACGAAAAAATCCGATTTCAAGAAACTTTGGACAATTTAAACTTTCGACAATTTTATATATTAACAAGTCAATTTCGTATCGTGACTAATTATTTCCAATGCATCGTATCGTACAGATAATCGGCAATTTTTTGTAAATTTTTTTGTTATTTTCAAAAAGTAAAGCATCGTTATCAGCGTTTCTTTTTTTTTCGCTCGTTATCGACAGACGTCTAATTTTTGGATAAACAATCTCGAGGTGGCAAAAATTAATCGATCTCGATGCATTGTTTTTCCTGTGTTGTGAAAGTATTCTTGGACGTGTGAAGATCTATGCCAGAGCTCGAAACACGAATCAACGGTGACTTGGAATCGAGTTGATCAAAGTAGCAGTAGAAAGTTACAATGGAAGCATTGATGCGTTCAAGTATCGATTACAAAGGCAACAATTCATGCTTTTTCTGCTCGATACCTCGAGGTCTCACGT